TAAATGCTATTAGCGATGATTGGCTAATATCTTCAACTGAAAATAAAGATGATAATAATTGTGATAATATTAAAAATAACATTCGTGATAATTATGATGATCAAGGAAATAATAATAAATGTGATAATAGTAACGAGCTATAGCAAAAACCTCAGATTATTCTTTAAATGATAATACTAACATTTCCAATAATAATAGTACTGATAATACTCATAGAACTTCACAGTCTCATTCGATGCAAAGTAACTCATCAATGGAACTTAATTCTGTTCAAATTCATGATGTATCACCCCTTGATATTCGCAAAGTACAAGTTCAGTATTCAAAAGATTCCTCTTTGAAAAGAACAATCAAGAAATACTTTTGCCCATACTGTAAAAAGTTACAAACAAAATTTGCTCGACCTTGAAATAAAACATAAAACGGAAGCTGATGTACAAAAGTTTATACATATTAAAAAAGGAATACATGAACGGGCGAAATTTATTGCAGCTATCCGTAATCACGGAAATTATTTACATAATACATATAACAAATTAAATACAAGTATATTAATAATAGTTAGACAGTGTCAGGCTAAAAATAAAAAATCTGCTGACAATTATATTTGTTGTACGAATTGTAAAGGTTTTTATTCAAAAGATACTATACGTATCCACTACAGTAAATGTAAAACAACACATAAGAAAGGTGTACGTGAAATTACTGTCATGGGTAGACGATTAACAGGATATATTCATACTTCTGCTACTAAAACTCTTCGCGAAATTGTATTCCCTGTTTTAAGAGATGACACAGTTACAAAATGCATCAAGTATGATGAATTATTGATATTATTTGGCAATAAACTCTGTGAAAGATATACGAATACTCATCAACATGATATGATAAGAGCACATTTAAGATTATTGGGACGTTATAAACTTGTCATTCAAGAGATTAATAAAGAAATTAATGATTTTCAATTAATTTTTCAGCCACAAAATTTTAATTCAGCTGTAAGCGCTCTTAGAATAGTTGCTAAGTGGGATAGATCTATAATGTGGTTTAAAACACCTGCAGTTGCTAATACATTGACTACTTTATTAAAAAGGGTGCAAATACATTAAAGGCTGAATGCATAAAAAAGCAAGGTTATAAGAGAAAACAAGCTGTTGATGATTTTCTTATTTTATGGCATGAAGAAGTTCCGACTGTAATAAATATTGTAGAAAAGCTGTGGAAGATCAAATAAAATATAAACGACAAAAGAAAGTTATTATTCCATCAAAACAAGACATTAAATTACTATATGATTATTTGAGAAAACAATGTGAAACTTCTCTTTATACTTTAGAAAAAGAATTTGATTTATCATCATGGAAAATCTTAACTGAGTGTACATTAATCTTGGTTCAAATATTTAATCGCAGAAGAGCGGGTGAAATCGAAAGACTTACAATGGCAGATTACAAAAATCAGGAAATTTTGGATAAGAATGTAAATCCCGATCTTTATAAGAAACTCTCTAAAGAATCTCAACAATACGCAAAAAGATTTGTACGAATAACTATTCGAGGCAAATTAGGTAGAACCGTGCCTGTTTTACTCGAGGCAATTGTAATAAAATCTATAGATACAATTCTTAAATATCGTAAACGAGCTGGAGTAAAATCTAATAACGAATATATCTTTAGTGTTCCAAATGCAAGTAAATTTAAAAAAAAATATTTAAGAGCCTGTTCTCTTATAAGAAAATTTTCTCGTGAATGTGGTGCAACTATTCCATCTTCTTTACGGGGAACTATGCTTCGAAAACAAATTGCTACTTATACTGCAATGTTAAATATTGAAGATACTCAAGTCGATAATCTCGCTAATTTTATGGGGCATGCCAAAGAAATACACAAAAGTATTTATCGAATACCGGTTCCTGTAAGAGAAATGACGGATGTATCTCGATTATTGGAAGCAGCAATGGGAAATGACTTAAATGAAAACGAGAATGAAGACTGTAATAATATCTCTGACACTGACAGTGTATCGCAATTAAGCGTCATTTCCGAAGAGGTTGCACAAAGAAATATTTATATACCAGAATCGGATAATAATAATAACACCGAGGGTTTTTCTACTGATGCAAATAGGTCTTCTTATGAATCTCATAATAGTGAGTTTTCTTGTTTTTCTAATCAAAATATTTAATCATATTTAATCAATAAAGATTTAGTAAATTTTATTTTATTTATTTTTCTAATTTCTAATTTGTAATTTAATGTACTTTTTATTATTTTATAATTTAGTTAGATTGATTTCTTTATTTCACTTAGCTTCTCAATGTAACAAAGAAAATTTGGAATGCAATGAACAAAGAAAACAAACTCGTAAACGTCGTAGCAGTGAGTCTTATTATTTATATTTATTTAATAAGTATTAAGTAGATTTTTTGTCCGTGTTTTATAATTTTGAAATTGTATATTTTTTTATTATTTTAATTATATGAATTTTCTTTTCATTTAATTCAGCTTCGCCGTATGGAAAAACAAAACGTATAAGATGGAGTGAGGAAGAAAAGAATGCAATTTCAAAACATTTTGGCAACATTTTCACATTATCACAATTACCATCTTTTAAGGATTGTCAAAACGCAATTAATAAATATAAATGTTTAAAGAAGAGACAACCTCAACATATAAAATCGTGGATTGATAATCAACGAAGAGCTGACACTCGTCATGAGGCATATCAGATTTCCAAAAATTGAAGTGATCTTATTTGCTTTCTGAAGTTACTATACAATACACTACTCTTTCATGTTTTATATATTAATATTTTCTTTTTGTTATTTTCTCCTTTTATTTTTTCTTGTTTATCGTTTTTTTGCCTCTAATATTTCAAAATTTTTTTGTCTATTTTCATTATTTCGATTTTCTTCATTTTTTTACTGATTCTTCTTATTATCTCTTTTCCTTTTTCTACTTTTCTGTTACTTATTTTATATACTTTTCATTAAATTTTTTTCTCTATATTTTTATATATATATTCTATAACATATATATTCATTCTGTTTTACTTAATTTACTATTCAGTATTATCCTAACGCTAAATTAATTAGGTATAAAATATGCATTAATTTCATTCAGTATTTTAATTTTAAGAAACTTTAATTTTTACAAAGGAGCAACTATTAAAATTAATATCAAAGATACAAGCATTAAATAATATTATTAACATAGAAATTATACGAATATCAAAAGTAAAATAATTGGTTACATAATAGTTTTAAGTACATAACGTATTTTACGTCAAATAAAAGTTAAAAACATTTTTAATAAAAAAATTTATTTTTTTATAATTATATTTGCATATTTTCGTTTTAGTTACTTAGTTTAGTTACTTAGCTTAAGTTAATGTAAACATCGCAAAAGTACTTTAAGTAATTGTGATATTTGATTTAAGTAATTGTTTTATGTACTGTTGTATGTCATGCAATATTTTTCTATTAAAATATTCTATTAGAATGTTATATTTAAATTTAAATTAAGATTGCTATTAAAACATTTTTCTTTGCAACTTCATTCTTGATGTATAATTTTTTTCATTAATCCTTAACATAAAAAAAAATACTAATAACACACTCTTATTTATCAAATTAAAAACTGATAATTTTAGAGCTGCGAGGATGAGGAATGGACGAGAGTAAATAACAGATTTATTTAGAACTGTAACTTTAATGAACGTATGCTTGAAAAAATAAAAGTTCTCTCTTAACTAACTAGGGTGATCACAAAGTCATAGAACATGTACAACAAACATATAAGAAAGTAAACTCAAACATTTAGAACATAGAATATAGAAAATATAGAGAGAGATTATACATTGCTCAATCTAACAAAAACAAATTTTTATTTAGATGTAAATATATATTAATTATTTACTGTTTATTCATACATTAATACCAAACCAATAATATATAGAATACTTTAATGCAATATAAAAATATTTCTATGTTATAGACTAAGAAAATATAAACAGTAGTAATTGGATGTATATATTTAACAGAATATAAAATAAGAAATGATAAAAAAATATTACATATTATAACAAGCTAACATATTAAAAAATATTGCAAGTTAATATGATCATTATCTTTCCAATAATAATTTAACTATAACATGCATAATAAAACATGCTATCTTAAGTCTTATTCGACGTATTTTATGATTTCGAAGTATGTAAAATGTACAAAATAAAATTATGTCATGTACATATTTAAACTTTTAAAAATTAAAAATTAAAATAATTAAATAATAATATTGATATGACAAAAAAGTTTTTAGTTTCGATAATAAATAAATATAATTTGTTTGCAGAAAATTAACTTATATCACGCTGGCTCTTAGATGTAAACAATTATTTCAATTTAATATGCGGAATATAGTTAAATTAAAGAAGATTTCAAGTTTAAATGTGTGTACTTCATGGAGAATAAAAATTTCCTATTAATATGAGAACTGTCTAGAAAATATTCGTTTATTATATACGAGGTGTGATCAAAAAGTAACGAGAATTTTCAAATTGCGTGCGCTGTATCTTGTCTATCCAGTTGATTCTTATTTTGTGTGTTATTAGCACTGCCAGTGACAATTTTCAGGCAGCTACGACGCTTAGTTTGTGTTTGGCGAGCGAATGAGCAAGACGTACTTCAGTGTGTTCGGCGATTTTTTGTGTGGCGAAATGTCGGATCAGAGTTTGTTTGAAATTTTGTGTTAAAAACAGAATTAAGTGCAGCGAAACGTTCAAAATGTTAAAGAAGGCCTTTGGCGACGATACTATGTCACAACCACGAGTTTATGAATGGTATAAACGCTTTCAGGAAGGCCGAGAAGACATCGAAGATGACGCGAGGTCTGGGCGTCCTAGCACGTCCACCAGTCATGAAAACGTGGAAAAAGTTAAAGAGATTGTGCTTGCTAATATATTAGCTAATATTAGCTAAGATATTAGCTAATATATAATTGCTATAATATGTGGTATGGGCGCCCCCATAGGTCTTCCTCCAGAGTCTGGAGGAGCTCTGTCCACGCCTTGGCCTTGGCAGCTCGTGTGGCCTTTACCAAGGCATCCCGGACGACTCGAAACACGCCGTATTTTTCGGCAACTTCTTCGGCCGATGAACTTCTTCTTCGGCGGGCGCGCATGAAGTCTCTTCTGGTTCGAATGGAGGCTCTGCGCAGTGTGGCAATCTCCTCCGTCCACCAGTATGCGGCCCGTCGGGGGGAGGATTTGGCTCGGGGCATGGCGACATCACAGGCGTCTGTTAGTGTGTCCCTGAGCCAGTCCGCTTGTTGGTCGGCGTCCTTTCCTCCTTGTCCTTCTTCTGGCCACGTGGATGATAGTATCGCGGCTTTGAGGCGATTCTCGTCCATCTTACGTAGGACCCATCTCCGTGGTCGGGTCTCCAAATCTCGGCGACGGCTGAGCATCTCCGGAGCAGCGGCTGAGATGGTCATCTTAATATAGAGATGATCTGACGCCGTCTCTTTTTCCAATACCTCCCAGCCGCTGACTAGATGAACTGCTGCAGGGGCTGCCCATGTCAAATCGACAATGGACTCTCCCTGAGGCCTCACGCAGGTGCTCCTCGAGCCTCTGTTAAATATGCAGAGGCCGAGTGACGCCCAATCCTCTAATACCCCGCCCCTTCGATTGGTAAGCGGGGAACCCCAAAGTGCCGATTTGGCATTGAAATCCCTCGCTATAATGACAGGTCGTGGGAGGGGAGATCTCCTGATGCACTCCCCGATGCTCTGTAATCTGTCTTCGAAGCGGGCGAGGTCGATGTTCGGTGAGATATAAACCCCGACCACCGAGATGCGTCCCCATTGGACCGCCACGTAGCCTTCCCCATTCTCCAACCTAGATGCCGGCGGGGAGTTTTTGTTCCTCAGCCAGGTTATCGCAACGGAGCTCCTCTGGTCGGACGCCCAGCATGGGTGTCCTTGTGGAACAAAATAAGGCTCCGCCGCAACCCCGATTCCACAACCCCGCTCCATCAGGCTATGCGAAAATAAATCCTGCGCCTGACGAGCGTGGTTAAGGTTGACCTGTAGCAACGTAGTCATCATTATTTGGACGAGACAGTTGCTTCCTCCAGCACTACCTCCATGGGCTGGGCTTCACCTTCAGCCGTCGTATGGGATACTGTTTCCCCCACCTTTTTCTTCTTCCTCAAAGCAGGAGAAAGTTCTTCTTCCGTCACCTTCACGTTGCTCACCACTCTGACCTTTGATGTTGAATGGCCAGTAGTTGCGAGTACACTGGGGTCAATTTTTGGTCTAGGCGCCGTAGGCGCTTTGGCTACCGACCCCTTCTTCCTTCTCGCCGGGGCACAGGCCTTACTTCCTGTGCGGTGTTCATCCGGCCTTCCCAAATCTGCACAGACCGAACATTTTGGTTTGGCCGTACATGATTTGGCCTCATGCCCGTTTTCTCCACATCTGTAGCACCTTCCACTTTGATCAACGTTGTTAGTGCACGTCGCCCGGACATGTCCCCCCTCCAGACATCTGAAACACTGCAGAGGCCTTGCGTCAAGCAGCTCGACCCCCGCCAATGCTCATCCGATTTGTATCCGGCCTTTTCCCGCTGCCATATTTGCAGACTCTAACGGGCATCGTACCCACGCCATTCTTAGGCCGTTGCCAGACTTCCTGATTGGACCCGCGTTGATATCTGTACGTTGGCACTCTTTAAGTGCAAGAATAGCCTGAATAATGCCCTCTGTTCCAATTGAGTCGTCCAGATCTTTGAGTCTAAGGTCTCCCATCTTCATTGGTCTGGAGATCTTGACTCCCTCTCTATTTGCGAGAAACTCCTGCAGTTTGTTTGCAAAGGCATTCGCTTTTTCTCTGCCTTTCTCGCCGGGGATCTCGTAGATGAGAGCCCCCGTGACCGCCCTCTTGGTGCGCATGCCTTCGATTTTGAAGTCGGAGAGTTTAAGGGGATTCACAAAGATCTGTTTTACCGATAAAAAAGCGAAGTATGAGTTCAAGTACTAATCTTTTTGTTTGGCTATACAGAATGAAAAATCCTTTTCTAGAATTAAAGTACTCATAATAATGATGTGCGGGCGTTATAATTTAATGTAAAAAACCAAAAAAAGTTAAATAATTACAGTTTTCTTATCGGCCTCTTGCATCAGGTCGTAACAATACTTATTTAATATAAAAATTCTGCAGTTTGTTCGTGCAAAAGATATAGCGCCCGCATTCGGGATAACATAAAAGAATAATACTAGACTGATAGAAATCAGCTTGGAAGCCTGTGTAAAAAGATTAATATATGAAATTATTTAGTGTACATGTGTGCGTGCGGAATCGATGTCAAGGAGTAAAACAGAGCAATAGATTAGTTGCCGGGTAGCGTGATAGATGAAGCTGCAATCTATTGAGCTGACAAGGACAGACATAGTCGTACCATCTTTGTCTCTTTCATGCATGTGAAAGTAATATATATGAACGCACTAACATTATTGCAGTTTCTCGTATCTTCTTTCTCTCGAACATACGCTCATTCTGTTTCTTTCTAATCGCTCGTTTACTGCTCGCTCATTACTGTATTGCTCCGTTTCATGCTCCTCGCATATCCACGTTCAGTTTCACGTTCACTCACACTTCGCGTCTCTCTCTCTCTCTCTCTCTCTCTCTTTTTTTCTTTCTTTCGTTTTCTCTGCATGTTCATTATTATATTCTTTTATTCTCACTCCTATCTTTTATCCTTTCTGCTCTCGTCTCATTACATGGAAATAAATAAATTTTTATAATTACACATTTTTATTTAGTATATAAAATATGCAATAAATTACTTTCTTTTTCTATTTTGCTATTCTAAATACATCTACATATATTTTTTTTCATTCGCAATAAAAATCATCTTTACAACAAATGATCGTTATTTACAACTATTTATTAATTTATGAATCGAAAAATGAAAGTTTGATATATTTTATCTGTTTATGTTATCAAACATGAGTATATAATGGCATATAAATAAAGAATTATTTCAATGTATAGTATAATAATATGCACATGATTTTTTTATACGATGAATGTGTATATTTATAAGCTTATGTGAATATTTATAAGCTCTATATTTATAAAAAAAGCAAACTTTCTCTAGTAAAAATTATAAATGTCGAAATAATTTGAATATTCGGCCAACATGCATTTGATAATATATTCTGATAAAATATGTACCAAATTTTCTTTTTGTTTCGTAGATATAATTTGTGATCAATTGTCGCAAAGAAATTATGCAAATGTAAAAAAATACATGTATTTATATTGAATTATTATACTGTTTTTGGAATAACAAAACAGAAAAAAAGTAATTGTATATTTCATATATATACTAAACTAAAAAAATTACTTGTATTACTAAATGACATTTATTAATTATTATTATTTATTAAATTACTAGCATTATTTCGTAAAGGAAAATGGAATGCGGATGTGGAAATAAAAAATAGGATCAAATAAAATATAAAAAAAAGGAATTAAAATAATATTTTATTTGGTAAATATAGCGAATAGGGGACCCAGCCCCAATGACCTTGACCTTGACATATGTTGTCAAGGACATAATTCTGAGTAACTTTTTCTTCTAATTTAATCGTCGC